GCAAAAAAATTATATAAAAAAATTTAAACAATTTTTAACAACATTAATAATAAGTTAGTAACATTTTTTATATTTTATAGTATGAATATTCATTATATAAGTGTTAATGGACAATAATTGAAATAAAATATTATAAAAATAATCATATAAACATTGTTTTGTAAACTTATAAAGCAAAAAAAAAAAAAAAACGTTATATTAAAGTCATTTATTGTAGAAAGTGAATGTCTACATATATTTAGAGTGAATTATTCAAAAATATTCTTTAAATTATAAATTATACCTGAGAAACTGATAATTGTGGTTTTTCTTTTTGATGAGTGGATAGTATATGAGACACACATTCTCCGTAGCAATCAGCATCTTCAGCGCCATGATTTAATATTACATTAATTCCTTTTTCTATAGATTATAATATAAGATATAACTAATAAAAAATAATAATCTTATAACTAAGTAATAATCCAAACTTCATACTTTCAACCACAGGAACATATGGTTGTTCTAATGTTTTGTTAACAGTATTGTCAGAATCAAGTAATGGAGACATTTTTTCTGCTTCACTATCTTCATCTGGCGTCTAAAAAAACAACAAAATCTCTTAAATATATTTAGTAAAATTACAATCTAAGTTATATTAATGATTTAGTCTTTGAATACCTCTTCTTCTAAATTTCCTTTTTCATTAATAACTTTGACATTGTCTTTACATTTAATCGAAAGTTTAAGTTGACTATCATCTTTGATAGATCCTTTTAGGGATTTTTCATTGTTGGTTACCTAAAACAATAAGTTAGTAAAATTTGAACATTAACTNTTGATAGTGATTTTAATCACTGTCAGATATCATTATACCTGATCCAACTATGCCACGTAACCACTGTGCCGCGACCCCCCGTGCTGGGTTTTTTTTTTTATGAAGTATTCTGAAAAATTTACTTAGTAAATTAAGAAAATAATTTATTGTTAATAAAATACAATCTATGTATAATGTTTTAAATTTTAGTTTTTACGCAACTCAAAATAATAAATAATGCATCAAATTAAAAATAATAAAAACATATTTTTAAAAAATCATACAAAGAAAAAAATAAGTTAGTATTCTTTTATACTATACAATATTACTTTTAATAGATATCAAAGATGTCAACTAAAAGATGTTGATAAAATAAATTTGGGTGTGGAAGAATTTTAGTTGTGTTAAAATGTGTGTCATTTGAACAGACACACATTTACTCCTCTAAAAAATGTGTTAACAACTAAGTTAACTGTTTGTAGGCAAAAAAATTATATAAAAAAATTTAAACAATTTTTAACAACATTAATAATAAGTTAGTAACATTTTTTATATTTTATAGTATGAATATTCATTATATAAGTGTTAATGGACAATAATTGAAATAAAATATTATAAAAATAATCATATAAACATTGTTTTGTAAACTTATAAAGCAAAAAAAAAAAAAAAACGTTATATTAAAGTCATTTATTGTAGAAAGTGAATGTCTACATATATTTAGAGTGAATTATTCAAAAATATTCTTTAAATTATAAATTATACCTGAGAAACTGATAATTGTGGTTTTTCTTTTTGATGAGTGGATAGTATATGAGACACACATTCTCCGTAGCAATCAGCATCTTCAGCGCCATGATTTAATATTACATTAATTCCTTTTTCTATAGATTATAATATAAGATATAACTAATAAAAAATAATAATCTTATAACTAAGTAATAATCCAAACTTCATACTTTCAACCACAGGATCATATGGTTGTTCTAATGTTTTGTTAACAGTATTGTCAGAATCAAGTAATGGAGACATTTTTTCTGCTTCACTATCTTCATCTGGCGTCTAAAAAAACAACAAAATCTCTTAAATATATTTAGTAAAATTACAATCTAAGTTATATTAATGATTTAGTCTTTGAATACCTCTTCTTCTAAATTTCCTTTTTCATTAATAACTTTGACATTGTCTTTACATTTAATCGAAAGTTTAAGTTGACTATCATCTTTGATAGATCCTTTTAGGGATTTTTCATTGTTGGTTACCTAAAACAATAAGTTAGTAAAATTTGAACATTAACTAATATTAATAAAATTTTATGGAGATATGGTCTTTTCGAAAAAACCGATTCAATTTACAAGACATTAATCTTATTAAGAAAATTACTGGTCTATAATTTTTTACCCGTTAAGAGACTTGCAACCTAGAATGTCTAATAATAATATAACTATTTAAAACCAACGCCTCTCCATCGTCTTTATTTAAAATTTTAACTTCTGAATTACAGGTCCAAAAGTTCAGTCATTTTCTTAATTAGATAGTTTTCTATTTTATAAGATGTGGCATATTTAGAATGAGTATAGATAACATTTGACAGTGATTAAAATCACTATCACAAGAATGCTTCGATTCAAATCTGTAGATACTGTTTAATTTTAAGAAATTGATGGATTATTCCATCAAAATATAATTTCCAGCAAAATTAACTCCTATTTTTAATTAGTAGTTCTTTGATTTATAAGTATAATATATGAATAAATATCTATTATAGCAATTCACTGTAGTATGAAATTGATATTTAATAATTTAGTATTATAATTTTTAAGGAGTGAGAAATGGAAAGCTGTAAGAACAGTTATAGAAATTAATGTTGAACGAAGAAGAGGTAGAGGAAGACAGACCAAAAATGGGATGGAGGGATGTAATTAAATACGATATGAGGACGTCTGATGTGAGCGTAGATGATGTAGGTGATCATGTCAAGGGTTAGTTTAGGATAAGGGTGGCCGATCCCAAGTAGTTGAGATTAAGGCGAAGATGAAGAAGAAAATTGTAATTTTTACGGAAAAATTATAAAATATTTATTACTTTAATAGCAAACACGTATTGTTGAAGGGATTGATTCAAAACTTATCATTTATTGTTAATTATGAATAAATGGTCAATAAGGAATTTTCATCAGAGTCAAAAATATACTTTTTAACCCATTTTTCGCGATGATTTCTAATATGCAATTAGATTTCTTTCATCGCCACTAATTTTTGATATTATTAATAATTAGTTCAAAACGAGTATTAACATATAAACAAAAATAAAAGTTATTACCTTGACATTTAGCTCAACTTGCAAGTTTGAAACTGACATCATTAAATAGAACATTTTGTGAAAATTAAAAAAATGGTATTGTTATTTAGATTAATATATGCTGTTAGAAAATTTTGATATTACTATTTATAGTAAATTTATCAGTAAAGCTTAGTATATTATTGCATTTTTATCGTAATAAATCACTTAATTAGAAATTATTGTAATAATCTCTAAGTTACTTTTGGTGTTTAAAAAGATTCTAAAATTGAAATATTCAGAACTTAATTAATTTTAATGTTTTCTTAAAATAAAGAAAAATAAAAAAGTTGTTAAAATGGTCTACTAATTTAAGCGTATTATAAAATTTGATTATAATTGTAAAAATCCATTGTTAAAATCACGAGAAATTAAAAATCATTTTTTTAGAAATGATATAGCAACATTTTACCAAAAAATGTGAAATATTAATGACTGGTAGTAATACACACAAATAGAGTTAAAAAATTAATAATCTACAAAGAAAAATTATTTTTAATTTGTAGTTGAAAGCTATTATCATATCAAACGTAATTCCATTAATTCGGTAGTAAATACTTTTAAAATAATAAAATGAATGATTTTAATTGTCTGTATGGAGAACAGGGTCTAAATAACTGTTTAATTGATACATTTTTTTTTAATTTTTGAGGGTAATATCTTTAACTAGATACGAATTGTAATCATTAGACGTATAGTTGAAAAATTAGGCCAAGTGAGCGCTGAGAAAATAAATGACAGCCCCCCCAAAAAAAACGCATAATAAAATAATTTTAATATGAATAAGAAATTTCTTTTAACTTAGGGAGACACAGTGATGGTGTCCTTAATATTTATTGAATTTTGATGAAATAAAAATCAAATTAGTTGAAATTTGTTTTCTATCTCAAAAATAATTAAGAAAAAAAATTCTGAAAAACTCACACTCATAGATGGGTTTGACCATCATACCCCCCGCGTTGAAGGCAAAAGTTTTACCGACATGATAACCGTACATCGTAATTATGGGAAGATAGAAATGACAATTTAAGGTAATTCAAAATTTCAAAGTTATTTTACTTAAAAGAAAAAAAAATTTTAAATAAGTTTAACTTTATATTCTATGTCAATTAGATATATATAATATATATTCATGATAATCAGTGTACTCCCCTCGTAAAGTATTTTGAAATAAAATAAAATATAAAACCCAAAATTTTAACACAAAAATAGCATATTTTTGAATAAGTAGCCATTTTCACCAATAAGAAAATCTAAACATACATTTTTTTTTTCATTGTAAAGTACATTATATAAGCTTTAATTTAAAATTTATATTAAAGTGTCAATATTTCCGGAACATTTTCAAAAGTTCAGTTAAAAAAGTTCTATTTTTTACTCGTATAAAAGATTTAAATCCTTCTTGTATAAAGGAAAATGGTCAGATTTAAAAATATATGTATCAAATGAAAGAAGTAAACAAAAAGTATTTATAAAATAAAAATTGTATTGATCCATACATTTTTAAAAAGTTATAGTAAATAAAAGTTGAAAAAATAAAATATAAAATCGTAAATTTTTTTGAAAATTGACACCCCTATAAGTTAATAGAGATGACACTGAATCATAAAGTAATAGCTGATAAATTAAAAAAATATTTGTATCTATAAATTCAATTTTTATTTTTCAATATTGTATTTATTTTGTGAGTAGCTCATGATAAACTGATTATTTTATATTGCTATCACTGGATAGCAATAGTCATATTATGACCACAATAGACTAGTCTACAAACAGCTTAAAAATTATAGGGAATCTTTTGCTTTCGTATTTCTGGTAACACTGTAGCAAATTACAAACGTTACAACTGTAATCTTCTATAGAGCCTTCACTACACATACACACACACACACACACACATATTTAGATATACACGATCACATAATAATATTAAAATTCGAATGTTGTTTTTATCCGTTTTGTTCTACCGTTTCCTATTTGTTGTTGTGTCGTAAGATTTGTGGACCAAATGACGGAAGTATCTTACTAAACGTGTTTGGCCTTTTGCCGCTGTTGATTCTGAACGATGCATTTGAGGACGTCAATTTCAAAAACGACAAGAAGGGTGGTCAAAATAATACAGCAGTTGAGTTTTTAAAATCAAATGGAATGTCGGTTGATGGCCGTTGCGTCGTCATAACGGTTGTTTCCATTGCCGATCAATAAATGAATAGGTGAGTTAATCTGTACTTGTTAATTTACAATTAGATTTACAACTTTGACTGAAATTAGTTTAAGAAATTATCATGTGTATTATACCATCAGTGATGATAAATATTTAATTTGTATTATAGTTGCTATTTATTTAAATAGAAAATGGCGTTATACAATAATTATAGGCCCCCCCCAGGGCCAATTTAAATTTAAGTGACCTTGGGTACGGTTTGCCAGTTAATTATTTTAAAAATTTTATTCATTATTTATTTTGACGAAAATAAAAGAATTATAATTTTTACATAAACTTAAAATATTTATATATTATATAATATTAAGTTCTTTGTTTTTTTTTATAAAATAATGGATTCCTCATAATTATTAGCAATATATTTTTATATTGACTGGTATATAAAAATGACAATATTATCAAATTAAATTTATATATAGAATTATAATCAAATATTATGTATAATTAAAATTTTATTATTACAGTTAATTAAAACTTCTGATAATCTTAAAAATCTTGCTAAATAATAATTACAATCTCTTAAATTCGTTTAACATTTAAGGCAATAGTTGAAATTATTTTTTTTAATTAAATTTTTAATTAATTATTATATTATTCTATGATTTTTATATTTTTATTTTGGTAGTTATATGAAGATATCTGTAATAATCTCCAAACAGTTACATATAATTTGTAACTGATTCAAGAGTAATTAAAAATATATTAGGTAGTATAAATTTTTAAGGTTATTTTAATCGTTTTCATTTAAGTATTGAGTTTTAAATATAAACTTAAATTCATATTTACTGCAAAAAATCTATGATTTTATGTAATACACAATGTAAAAATTAAATCTTGATTAACTTGATTAGCATAAATTTTTTCAAATTTATTCTCATTATAACATAAACTAGTATTATTTGTACAGTTATGCATAATGAATGAATTAGAAACTCATATTTTTTGACATATTAGGAGTACAAAAGTAAACTTTACTTAACTATTTAATTCTATATGTTGATGACTTTTATATCAATTTTAGAGATAATTGTATTTTAATTAATGAGAAATGTATGATATTCTTGTTAAATAGTAATAAAATTAGTAAAACTTAAATTCAATAAACTTAAATAATCTTAAAATAAATTTTTTGACTTGTTACATATATAGACAAGGCAGTGTTATCGCCCAATAGGCACTGTTGGTATTGTGCTTAGGGCCTATGAACCTATTTGAAAGATTTATTTTATTTCAATACTCTTGTTTCAAAACTATTTTTAGCCTATAAAATTATTTTTTCATAAAGTACTATGAGCAAATATTATTAAAAAATGTGCTGCTAACATGTCCAAACAAAATTTGTTTAATATATTAATGTTGTTAATTATTTGAGTCTTAAGTAAGTTTATGACATATTATGTTACTATAAGTTAGTCACTTCTTATGTACAGAAGTTTTTCTGTACAATCTCTCAACAAAAATAAAATAAAATAAAAAAGTACACTTGTTTAGTTGTTATAGTTATAACTATAGCTCTGCAGCTATAGAAAAATAAGCATATGATTGTGTCAATATACTAAAATAAAAAATATTATAATTTTAATAATGATTGTTTAAAAAAATTGCATTAGCTAATATTAACCTAATTAGCTAATTTGATATCCCTACTTGGTTAAATATTTTATGAGATATCTAAAATTGAATATTTTGAATGAGCAATCTGCAGTGTTTGTTTAAGGGTATTAATCAGGGGCACCATATGAGATGGCCATTTGTCCCAGTTTAAATCTTCAGTACATATTGGGGGAACGTCCAGTGATCTAAAGTACAATCTTACCAGGATGAAATTATTAAAAATAATTCAAAATGTCTACTTTTGAATAGAAAAAAGGTTTTTGTAAAAATGATTTTGAGGTTGCTAAATTTTAATTTTTTTTAATATCTTCCTCTTATCCTTTAACCCAAATCCCTTTTAGGAGATTTTTTTATATTAATTTTTGATTTAATGTATCAAAATTTATGTTATTTACTTTATTGTTTATTTTTATTAGAGTTTTTTAATAACCATAAAAAATATTTGAGTTATAATTTAAATTTTAACACTATGCTTAACAATAGACTAAAGAAAAAATGAGGCTGAGAAATCTTTAGCTATAAAAATAGCAGCATTGGCATTATTTTAAATTGTTAGTAACTTCTGAAATACTGGTAAACTGGTAAATTTTTCTGGAGCTCACTTGTAAGTTTTGATTCTAGCCTACTCATATTATTGATAGTTTACTATTCTATTGTGGTTCTTTACAGCAGGTTGTCCATATAATTAGACAAATTAACTGTGATTTTTTGTTCTGAAATTTTGTTTGATTAATTTTAGTGTGTTGATTATTGTACTGACTTCGAATTAAATTTAGAATTATCAATTGGGAACGATCGGATTACTTATGTGTGGATTTTGTAAGTGAAAAAATAATTCTAAATTTTTAAAACTCGAATATATTTTTCCTTGATGACTCGAAGCCTTATTAATTTTAACATTTAATAAGTCGAAATAAATAATTTCTTTTGAGCTTTGATATATATCGCAGTTATACTGTAAGAGATAAGAAATTCATTCCCTACTCTGTTTTGCCAAAATCGAACCAGACACCCCGTAATGAAGTATGCCGCTTTTCTATCTATACAGACAGCCATAAATAAAATATAATGTTATAATAAATGCACAAAAGTAGTAAATAAGATATAGCGGAAAATTTTTCATGCTATAATTTTTGTATTAAGTACGTTCGTGATAGACGAGAACTTAAATCTAAGTAAGATTGAAATTAATTAATTATTTGAGTAAAAATATTTTATTATAATAGGCAAAGATGCTTATAAAACTTAAATACTGGTAACATTCGATTACAGATATAAACGGTGGCTTTAGTTTATTAATTTTTTTGTCAAATTATTAAATCCAAATTTATTGACATAGACTACGAGTCATTTAGAACAAACAATCTATTGTTTTTGTTCTTCTTGTTTTTACAATTAAAATAAACGTATTTATACAGAATTCAATTATTTTTAATATATAAATTAATGTCGAACTTTATAGGTTCACGAATCGTTAGATCGTTGTAACTGTATACTTGTTAACCTTTAAATCGATTCAAAATGAAAAATTTATGTTAAAATTATAATTTTTTTTGTTATTTGTATATTATATATAATAATTTATTTAAATATAACGTTATTTTTAAGCGAATAACTATTTTATGGTTATTACATGTTTAAAGAAGTAATTGCGTCCACTAGAAATATTTAGATATACTTATATATATGTCTAAATATGTGTTAGTATTAACTTTTTCTAAAAATTAAATTTCATCCGATCCTCTTAATATTAGAAAAAAATTAATGTAGATATTGCTAATGTACAAGTTTATCTTTCTTTTTAAAATATTAATTATTATTGGAATAATTTTTATTGTGAATGGTGGGTACACCGCCATTCGCTCACTACTCTACCATAACATATTCTTCGTATTCCATCAATAATTTTCAGGGATATTTTTTCGAAATTTACATTGGCCTTTAAAAAATTTTAAATTATTTCTTTTAACTTGTTTTATTACAAAAAATTTTTATCATTAATTTTGAATATTATTAAATTTTACATTAGTGCTATGTAAAATGTCATGGTTTTGCAAGTAGCAATGGTATATCAGAGGTTTAATATTTCAAAAATAGTTAATCTCTTAAAAAACAAATTGTGATAGCTTACCACTGCTGTAAAAATATTGTTTACACGTAAAAAAAAATGATTGATTTGGGTACGGTGTGTCAGGTAAAAATTCTTGTTTATTTACCTATAAAATGTCACGTGGTGGTCCGAAAACTAGTTTTTCATTGTTAAAAGTGGAAAGATGTTCTTTTATTAGACACATTATTTTTTAATAATATTATTTTTGTGTTTTTAATTATTACCTTGGTATATTTCAATGTTTTTCACATATTTTTCTTTATAGTCGAATTGACTGTCCTGTAGGATATTAAATTTTAATCTAGGATAAATCTGTTCAGTTTTGAAAATATTGTTTTGTAATACAAGCATTATTTTATTTCTATATTAAATATTTCAGTTTTTAAATATTTTAGTTATAATTTTGTCTATTTTTATACGATTTATTGATATTAATGGTTAATGGTCATAAAGAAATTGTAAAATTTATAATTTAGTATAATTTGTAATTTATGTAGGATTAACTATTAATCAGGAATAGGTAGGTGTATAGTAGTGATCATCTCGGGCCGGGCTAGCCTGATCCGATCAGAATTTAGCCTGTTCAAGAGTTTGGTAGAGCTATAATAATGATTTTATGTTGCTAACCCTGCCATGTCAGACCTTAATAACAAATAAACCGAGCTGGATCGGATTGGGCCAAATAAGACGTTGATTTTTTTCTTTTAAATTAAATATTAACAATTTATATTTAATATTAATTATTAACTATTATTTTCTTTGAAAAAAAATTGAATAAATAAAACTTAAAGAATTGAAATCTATTAATTATAGTTTAAAATTTTTTTTGAATGAATCGGATCTGAGGGTTGGGCTTAAAATTTTATGTATAGGTGTTCAGTAAGTGAGAAAACGGATTTCCTCTGTTCTCATTGTATTAATTGACCTGTTTTCTTACTTAGTGAACACTCTTTATAAGAATGCATAAAAAAATTCATTAAATATACAGTGTAGTTCCACTAACTATTATTTATAAAGATAACAACAATATCTTGATATTGTTTAAAGTACGTCGTAAAAAGAAGCCAAGTCTAATTTACTGTAGCTTTAGCATATTTCCTATTGAATGTCAAAATACAATTAATTATTAAAACTTGTTTAATTTTTGATAAAATAACGATGTGCATTTTCTGTAGAAAATTTTATTTAAATTCTAATAGTAATATAAATCATAATTATTCACTTTTATTTAAGTAAAACATTTAATTATGAACATAAATTGTATTTTCAAATAAATAAATTTGTGGATGATTGAAATAGATTAATCTATATTATAAAGATAAACAGTTATGAAGAAAATTTAATTTGTGTTACTCGGTATTCTTATGAATGAGGTTTAGCAACAAATGTGTCTCATAAGTAAACTATAAATTTCGATTCTTCCATTTTATACTGTCCACTCGACCATTTATGAACCGGTTTTAACATAGTCCATTGAATCTTGGTTATCTAGACAATCTATTTTTGTTTGTATAAAAAAGAAATTAATATGGTTTTTCAAATAGATATTTTATCGTTTTCATAGAGTTCTAAATAAAAAAAATTTACCATCAATTAAGATATGATGTTCAGTTATTAGACGAAAATATAACTATCCTTTTATTATATATTATTTATATGCTATTAATTTTTTGATCTGAAAAGAAAATTGTATATAATTATATACAGCCGTATTTTAAGTTTGCTGAATATTTTACTCTTGACTATGAAGATAGCACCTTCTATTTCTTATGAGTAATGGATTGTATTAATATGTGCAACACTAAAGTACAATTACGTCACTAGGTATTTTTTTTTAGTCAGCCCCTTTATTCTTATGTGTTAGGAAATCAGCTTCCTCTTTTTTTTTACATACGCATCAAGTATTTATGTCTATAATAGTGAATGGGAGGGGTTGTAGTATTGCTTAGTTGATCCCCTAACCAATATCCCAGCTGTCTTACCACCTGGCCTCTATTCTGCCGCCATAAAGCAATGGAGTTCACTATAGTACTCTCTACTCTAGTATCCACACTTTTTTTTTCTAATATCATGTGGGTATATTATTCGTTTAATGTTAGCTTTTTAAAGTCAGTAAGTTATTTTTTCTGAGATCTTATAATTAGATTTGTAGATGTCGAAACGGTCTTATAGTTTTGCGAATGGCGGAGAATACCATAATTATGACAATAAACGAATGCTACTTAAGTCTTTAAATGATGAGTAAGTCTTAAACTTTTTTGATTAAAAATATTTTGTTACTTTAAAAATAGTATAGAAGCATTATTTGTAGAAATAATTTTTTTAAACATTTTTTGTATTAAAAAAACAAATTATTTCATTTTTAAAATTTTGTAACAATTATATAAATATATTATATAAATTATATAAATATATGATTTTATTATGTGTTTTTTAAATTCCTTCCAATAATTTTCCATTGAAATATTCATTCTAAATGTTATGGTTTAGTGTTATAGGTATTATTTTAGATTTTAATTCTAAAAAGTTAAAATGTACGTAGTTGATAATTTAATACATTATCTAAAAATATATATATATGTGATTGGTTATTAAATTATATTGTTAAATATTATTTAATTTACTTATGATTCTATAAAATGAAATCCATTTTTATTTTCATATCCATTTTTTATTATCCATTTTTTCAATTTTAAAATTTAAAGACTGCCCAAGTATTTAATTGCTTAAGATTTTATGTAGAATAAATGGTTGAAATTGATGTAACCATATCTACGCACAATTTATATTTACATTTTGAAAGCATTCCATATTTATAATTTAAAAACATTTACTAACAAGAGAATAATTATTATATCTCACATTAGCTAAAAGTATGCATGTAATACTAGATTTCAGGAAACAGGATTCATGGTCTATGACTACAGTAAAAATTATGTATATTGGTTTTAATTTTGGCTGTATCTTTTTAGTAAGAAAACTTTTTATATTAGAAGATAAAAATAATTTTACTAGAAATGTGTTTCTTGTAATGTTATCAAAGTTGTTTACTAGTGACTCTTTTTCTCTATAGTTTTTTTAGTGTTATTACTGAAATAATAATAAAATTAATTTTAAAAGTGGTTCTCTTTTTTATAAAATAAAATGTGGTTACTGATTAGATGTTATTAATTATTTAGATTAAATTCTGAATATTTATTAGTGACTAGTAATATATATTTATAATTATTTATGGAATATAAATTTGTCAGCAAATAAAAACAATTATTAAACTTAAACTTTGTTTTCAGGTCTAGATCAGGTTATGATAGTGAAACAGATGATGGAGATGACTCGGACGATTATGCGATGCCACTTGGTGTTCCAGTATTGTCGAGTGATGATGGTCGACGGTTGGTCGAATATAAACCATCGAACACCTCCATCAACAAAGGCCGTTGGACCAAAGATGAAGTTAGTTTACTTATTTAGAATAAAAATAATTTTTTGTAACATCAAATTTTTTAATAGGATATGCGACTTAAACAGTTAGTAGATGAGTATCAAGAACGATGGGATCTTATTGCTCAACATTTCAATGATCGTTCTGATATTCAGTGCCAACAAAGATGGCATAAAGTAGTAAATCCTGACCTAGTTAAAGGGCCTTGGACAAAAGAAGTATGTTAAAATATTATTAGATGAATATTTATGTTTAAGATCTATTTTATTATTTCTTAGGAAGATGAAACAGTCCTGGAATTAGTTGAAAAATATGGTCCTAAAAAATGGACACTAATTGCACGCCATTTAAAAGGCAGAATAGGTAAACAATGTCGTGAACGATGGCATAATCATTTGAATCCAAATATAAAAAAAAGTGCTTGGACTGATGAAGAAGACAGAATAATATTTAGAGCGCATAGTCAATGGGGAAATCAATGGGCTAAAATTGCTAAGCTTTTGCCTGGAAGGTATATTATTCAATTATTTTTCAGCTAAAATATTTTAAGGTAAAAAAATTAAATAATAATTATTATATTTAAGGACTGATAATGCTATAAAAAATCATTGGAATTCAACAATGCGTCGCAAATATGAAATTGATGAAAAAGGTGAAGTTTATGGTAAACATATGTTAAAACCAAAAACTAAAAGTATTAGAGCTCCTATGGATAATAAAGATGACTCCACAAGTAGTCTTCCTAGTGTAGTACAAATTAACCAATCTGAATACATTACTATTGACATGCCTAATACTCAGGTATAAATATTTTAATTAATATATTTTTTTTTAATAACAATACAGCTTTTATCATTTAAAATTAGTAATATTTCTCAAACTTACTTATTCGTTATAAACTATTTCACATAAATTTATTATACTGATTAATTTTTGTAGTTTTCAAGTTTAATTAGTTAAAGCAAAATAATAAGCATATTGTATTTCAGTATATTGGTTGGATGCCTCCTAAATATATACCTGATAATCCTATTAAAGAAGACCCTGATCAAGATGTTCTTGATAAGGCTGAAGTTGAAGCTGCTGCTGAAGTTCTTAATTCTTTAATGTCTACACCTCAAAAAAAAAATGATGATATAAGTAAAGATGTGTTCAAGGTCAATTACAAACTGGAGTCTCCTCCAAGGCCAGCTTCTGTACCCCTTCAAACCAATTCTCCATCATGTTACTCTCCATATAGGTATACATGAACAAATTAAAATTTATTTTTCAAATATGCTTAGGTTGATTTTTTTAAAATTTGAAGATAAGTTTTAAAGAAAAATTTTGATACCAGAATATCTTATTTTAATTCCGTAGTTATGTGTTATACAACGTTTTGAAATTTGTTAAATTTTAATTTTATTTACAATTTTCCTATGGTATTAAATGTTAGTCTATATTATGTAAAGTACGGAAGTAAACACTGTCTTATTATGTTATTTACTGGTAACAGTACGCGATTTCTTTTTCATGGATAACAATAACATTTAACACACTTTTTATAGAAATGATTATCTCTAATCTTTATTACTAAAGTTATAAACATTGTATATTAACTACAAGTGCAAGTTTAGTCGAGTTAAAAGTGATAACTATGATTAATTTGCGTGATTCTATCTTTGATATCATATTATTATAGGATATTCCTTATTAGAAGATTTGATAATAAATGAACTTATTCACTATTATTTATGCTTAAATTTATGAAACATGAACTTATATAATTAAAAATTCAATTTGTTTTAGATAACTTTTTTATCATTTTTTTTAATAAACTTAATTTTACTATCACTTGTTTATTCATATCAATTATAAATGCTTATTTAAGTGTTCATATTTTTTTTGGAAGAGGGATCGCGTACTGTTACCAGTAAATTATGTAATAATTGTTTACTTCCATACTTTACATAATATAGACTAACACTCAATCTTCAAATCTTAAAAAGAATAGTTAAAAAAATATTTTTTGTAATTGCGAAAAATAACATAAAACATATTTTAAACGTATTACAACATTTACCAAGAAGCATACTCTATTATTCGGTCTACTATTAGTATCCCTACTCTTGTTTTTAAACGAGTTGACGCTGACCTTCCTTTTATCATTGTTTTCCTTAATGGTTTAATTGACGCACTAGTCCTTTTGTCCTCTGTATCCTTTTGTGTTCCATCTTATCCCACTAGAAATTACTTTCTTTTTCATGTTCTTTCTTATCGCTCCTTATATAATATTAATACTCTTCTACACAGAATGCTACGGTCCCTTAACAATTCATTATTTTTGGTATGTAATTTCTTATGTAATAATTTCTCTTATGCACATTTAAACCTGATTTTAAAAATAATTTTGTTCATTTTTTTCTTCCACTTTATATATATATATATTTTTTTATATTTTGTTCTTTGATATAGTTTATAATGTATATTAATTTTGTAAATTGCATTTTTTAGTGTTTGATAAATAAATATTAACATTTTACAGTATAAAATATGTCGGTAAAAATATTCTTAATATTCAGAGTATATAAAGTATTATATTATTATTTTTTTAGTAAACATGAATCATATATTTTTAATTATAAATTAATTTATTACCACTTTTTATTCATTTTAAGCTGATTATTTACTATGAATGTGTGTATATAATATATCTCATATTGACATAATTTATCTATTAAAAAAAAAAAAATTGTATAATGGTTAATGTAATATTACAATGTTTATAGTCATGACCATATCAGTATTATCATCATCATTTCTTTAGTCTCTATGCTATCTTTTTCGTGTCAGTTCTACCTTACGATATTTTTACATTGGTTGTCTATCTGATGCAACCTTATTATAACTGATAGAGCCAATATGAGGCAAGGTGTGTGTTACTGTTTAAATTCATATAGTAATCTATCTGGAAATCAACAGAAAACAGTGCAGTTGAACATTAGTGCTAAATTGGTGACTGAATAATCTACATTGCGTCCTCATATTAGTATTATATTATTACAAAATATCAGAGCTGTATTGAATTATTAAATTTTTTTATTAACACAAATTAAATTATCATAATTTGATTAAATACAATTTTATTTTATATATGAAGTGAAAAAAACATTTTTTCATTTTTAAACTTATTGTATATTTTTCATACAATAAAACATTGAAAAAAAAAGTTAAATATTTTTGTTGTTTATTATAATCTTAGTTCAAGATAATGGATTTTTTTTGACTTATTCATATTAATTAACTAAATTCTATAGGTTATTTGAAACCGGAGGTTATATAGATACTCAGCAAGCTAACAGTGTGGTTGGTAACTCTCCTGATGAAGGATATGCTGAGTTACATCTTGTTACTCCTATTAAAACACCAAAAAAAGAAATTTGTAAGTTATAGCAAAATGTGCAATTAATTTTGATTTTTAACTGTAAATTTTATTTTAGATTATCAATATGGTGCTAGTCCAAATAAACAAAATTTATACTCTCCTAGTAAACTTAACAGAAGGCGTAGAAGTTTTTCAGAATATCCAGAAATAGGCATGAATATACAGTGTAACGTAAGTATATTAGTATTTATTTAATTAATAAAATAACCAGAGTAAAATATACATAGACAGGGTGATCTGACATTTTCTGATAAATTCTATAACTTTTAGCCTATTTATTATTTTGCAATACTTTTGTTTTTTATTTAATCATTTAAGAGATAATAATTTTTATGAAAAAATTTCTATACCCGTAACAATATTTAGCGTGGAAAGATTGTGTTCTTTTCAGTTGTTTGCTTCTTAACTTAGGACCTACGCTTAATACTTAAAAATTAATACATAAAAATTAAAATTTTAAAATATTGTAGAATTAATCTGTACATTGATACAATATATTTTTATTAACCTTTTTTTTAATCTGCCACACAAAATCACTATTTAACACGTTGATAGACAGTCACTGCTATAGCAGTCATTGTGTTTTAAGTCGTAATTTGACTGTAACTGCTATAACAGTGATAAGGTATAATAGTCATATGATTATACGAGTAAAAAAAAGTCACGAATGGACTACAATTGCTATAGCAGTTACACTTTTTTTGTTTTCATTGTTTTTGTATCATATTTATAAAGAAAAAAGCTCTTATGCATTTTTTATTCCAAACAATAATTGTTTAAATATCTCAATAATAATTATTGAGATATTAAAGTGAATCTGTAATTACAGCCAAGAGCGTGACTGCTATAGTAGTCATGTCCGACAATGTATTAAAAAAAAAAAAATTTTCTTTAAACTACAAAAATTTTACAAACTATGATATTAAAGTTCAAAAGTAAAATAATTATTAAAAAAAAAAAAGTTTTATAAAATAATAACTAGGTCAAAAGTTATAGGACTTGTTAGACGAGTTGGATCACATATGTGTATAATGAATACAATAGAATACTTCTCTAAAATAAAGCTTAAATTTTAATATAAACATTGCTCTTTGGTTAATTTAATTCAAAAGGTAAGACAATGGGTTAAAGTTATTTTTTTGGGTGCTTCATTTTATGGTTCTGTATATCCTTTTATGGTAAAATTCATGCACTTCATATCGGTATCTATTTTTAAAACTTGACATAATTGAAATAAGATCATTTTCTATTATGTTAAATAATGTTGTTATGTCAAATTTTATTTATAGATACACATGTTAGTTTTTTTTATCACTTAATTTTAAAAAATATATAAAATTTTCTCGTCATGATGTATTTATATTTTAGGCAATTTTTATCATATTCAATATGCATAAAATGATTTTTTTAGGATTACGGTTATGGTATTTAATATTTCATTCTATTTATCAGGCATATTACCATTTTATAATATTAAAATATAGTTAATTATTGCATATAAAAATATAATTGATGTATAAATTTTGATAATTTATAACCAACCTCTATGAACACCTTTCTGGTATTTAAAATACATTTTTTTATTCATTACATTTATATTTTCAACAATTCGACATTTCTTTTCTTCATACTAAATTTTTATTTGTTGAATCTACAAATTTTGTTATTTTAATATAAGTAATCTTGATGACATTTTCATTTTACCACAAATTGTTTTATAGAATACTTCAAAGTTTTTGGAAAAATGCACATTTTTAAATTGATTTTTTAATTTAATTTCATTATTGCTATACTGTTTTTAAAGGCATATCATAAATAATTACAATGTTAATGACATTTTTGCATGGACATTTTTTTATATTTTTAGTAATTTTATTTCTGTGTATTTTTCTATTATCTTTTTTGATTTTCAAAAGTTTGCATTATAATTATAAAATTTAAATTGCGTGCCTTGTATTTATAGTTTGGGCTCCTAACATAATTCTAACTGTAAAAAGAAAAAACAAATCAAGTAAACACTTATTCTGATTTTGTATGTCGTTACTTTGCTTCTTTGTTTTTTGCTACAAATTGAGATTTGTGTGTATTTGTGGTCTAGACTATTTTATCAGGTTTGAGTATACCAGGAACACCTGAGAAACGGACTCCAATTAAACAACTTCCATTCAGTCCCTCACAAGTATGTAAATCTATGTTTTGATTAAAACTTGTATTAACTTGTATGGTGAATGTCAAAGTTATCACTAATACAAATGCATGTAATTGCATTATAAAAGTTAACTATTTTAAAAGTAAAACTTAAATAGTGAGTATTGAGCATTAATTTTGTTATATTTAACAACTATGGATGAAAATTTACATTAACAATATTTGATTTTGTCACTTGCATTTTAGTGAATTAAATTTTTTAATCATTCATTTCATAATAATTTTGTCAACTTGCATGCTTATTACTTACTAAATTTAATAATTTTAGCTTTATTGTATTAACCTATTTTTTAGTTATGGATTTTTTTTTGCTTTTAAACACAGTTATATAAGAATTTGCAATTTTTAACTTTAGTGCTATTTTCAAAAGCTATATCTTCTTTTTAAGTAGGTAATCATAACTAGGGTTTAACTAATTGAAGGCGACTGTTTAAATTTTAAATTTTTATTGGTAATTAAACTTTTTCAGTTAAAAATTATATAAATATATTTTAAGTTTTTTTAAATTAATAATATTGTTGTTTTAATCCAGTTTCTGAATAGTCCATCATTGTCATTTGATGTTAATTCATCATCTACACCTGTAAGAAGGTTATTGCCTAGCTGTAGTCGTAAGATCAATGAAGAATCCGATGAGAGTACAAAATCGGATACACTAGTAACTCCAAATTTTACTTATAAGTTTGCTGGGAGAAGTCGTGATGATGTTAAAACTCCAGAAATGTGTAAAACTAATACACCTCACACACCTACCCCATTCAAGATTGCACTTGCTGAAGTAGGCCGAAAAATGGGTGTTAAACATTTGGTATATAATATTACATGTAAATGGTTTATCTTTTGAATTTATAACCTTAAATTTTGTAGGTTCAGTCACCATCTGCATTGATAGAAGATATAACAGATTATATTAAGCAAGAAGATAGAGTTAAAAAAGAAATAGAACTTTCAGATTCACAATATGAAACTGACAGCTCAAACATGTTTTGTGTAATAATTAAATTTGATTATTAATTTTTTTTTAATAATATATATTTTATTATTTGTTAATAATACTAATAATTAAATAATAAATTTAGGATACAAATGATGCAGTTGCTTGTGGTAAAGAAAATGCTGAACCTGTATCTCCCACGCCCCAAAAAAAAGCGAGGAAATGTCTTGCTCCTGTATGGGCTTCACCTACTGCTTCATGGAATCAAGCTTTGGAAACATCTGTATGCTTTTTAAAAATTGCTTAAAAAATACTTAAGGTTTATAAGTAGAGAGGGTGGGGGTTCTTATGTTTTTAAAAACTTTAAAATATTCTTTAAATATGATAAAACTTAGAAACATTTAAAATTTTTTTTTAAATGTGAGATGTTTAAAAATATATATAAATTTTTACAGTTTAAATTCATGATATTCATAATTTATGATCTACGATTAAATAAATTCTATTGATTGAAATAAATATTTGGTCAGTTAACATTTTTTTACATATTTTTTTTTATAAAAATCATAATTTAAATTATAAAAATTTGTATATTTTTTAGTCAATATTTATACTTAATAAAAACAAAATAAATAAAACAAACTTTTTATCTATAACTAAGTGATCAACATTTTTCAAAATTTCTTACTTTCATTGTATTTTCACAAAATCAGTAGAAATATACAAAACTTAAAAATCCGCTCTCTTCGTATAAGAGTCCACTTTTTTTCTTCTTTTTTTAAGTAGAAAGCAATACAATTAATCTATTCTATAGGTGTTCAGTAAGTAAGGAAATGGATTAATTGTTTTAAACCATGAAAACAATAGAAATTCAATATTTACTTACTGAACGTTCTATATAAATTTATTTTGTGAATTAAGTTCAAAATTTCACATTAAACAATTAAATTTTTAGTTAAATAAATATAAATTTTAAAGTTATCTATGTTACTCGAGTAAAATAATTTTTATTTAAAACATTTTGTTAATATAGCCAAAAGCTATTAAGACTTCGAATTCTGGAGAAGATTTCCAATCCACCCATTCAATTAATGTATCAAAAGTTGTGTTCACTCCTGAAGAATATTCAGCTTCAAAGGTATATTTAGATTATAATTTATATTATTTTTAAAATTATTTTACACTAATGGTTTGAAGAGTGAACATATAATACTGTATACACTAAACCGGTCAGTTTGTGTGTGTGTGTGATTAGTTTTGAAAATTTATGTTCCTTATTTTATTGTTCCTTGTAACTTAGAATTTTTTTTTTTTTTTTTGTTAATATTTTTCAGGTATTTGGGTGAGTAGGTCATTAAAAAAAAAAACCGTAGAATCTTTTATTCACTCCTTTAAATTATGCACTATTTAGAAAATCTTTACAATCAGTCAAATTTTAGTTTTGCACAAAATCAGAATCGTTACACTTTAGCTATCATATATATCATGAGAAATGCATAAAACGATGTTGAAAATTTTCATAGAAAGGTAAAAATTGTATTTCTATGTAGTCTGTGTCAGATTTCATGTTATTTTATCAGTTGTGTTTGGTGGGAAATGTTTTTGTTAAATATCTGTTATATGTTATAAAGTTTTAATTATCCCATAATGATAAAATGTGTTATATTAAATCAAATTTATTTTTTGTTGTACAAAATACTATTGATGTTCAAATTGTTTAGTTGTAATAGAGTTTTAAAAAAATATATATATGAATTTTCTTTCTTAACTATAATTTTGGACATACTTTATTTTAACTAAATAAAATAGTTTGTTCCTTAGTTTAATTGTCATTAAATATTATTAAGAATGCTTAATCGGGGTCAGAATATTTTAAACTATAATTTTTTTGTAAGCTTTAGAATGTGATTTTAATGAGAAGAATAGGTTTATAAATTTTATACTTAAAATATTGCAGTATCATGTGAATATTGTTAAAGGTAAATCGGTTAGAATAAATTCAATTTAATTTTGTACGTCTTTTCATATATTCTTGCGTGAATTCTGGAGGCTAAGTGTTAAATGATATTTTATTTTAATTTTCTGATAATTTTGTACAATGAACTTTCTTAGTGATTTTACTGATATATTTCTTGCATCAATAAATTCTCAGTGTTTCTTTCTGTGATAATACTTAAGTAGTTAATTGTAGTTTTATATCTGCACATTGTAGTTTATGGTAGTGACACAGTAATTTTAGTGGTTTCTTGATTTAATTACTTCATAATACAAATTTTAAAGGTAAGGTGTGTATCATATATTTGACTTGTGAGTACAAGTTAATAATTGCATTTAAGTTAAAAGTAATAATCATGGGTCTGTTTTACTACTATGCATATTTTATATTTTTGCAAGAATATTTTATTTTACCTTATCTTTAAAATTGTATGCATGGCAAAGAATATTTTCATTTATTTTCTTTTATTTGATTGAAAATTTTAATTTAATTTAATTTTAAAATCATTTAATTTAAACAGTACAATGATTTATTTTATACTTAATTAGTATTTCACTTTCAGCTAAGTATTATAAAATGAAAATATTTTTTTTTATTTGTGTTAATAAAATATTTACACCGGCAAAAAATATCCTTATTCATTTCATTTTTTAGTATTTTTTTTTTTTAAGAATACATTGGTCATTTAAATACACTAAATCTTGTTCAAATGCTCTTGAGTTCTACAAAATTTTTAATAATTTCAGGTACTCTTATATTTTTTAACATTAAACAAGTATACTTAATATATATATGTAATAATATATGTAATACTTTCATAATAAACTCTTACATATATACCTTCTTTTCTAGTTTTTGAACCGTTTAATATTTAAATAGTTTTGCTTAATACATTGATAGAATCAAAGCAATGATTGTCTTATTTACATTTCACAGATATATCCAGTCTTGTTTGAGCATTGTACATGAAAATGTATATAAAAGCGTATATCGCACAGTTCTTTTTTTAATAATTTAGTTTTAAATCCTGTTTAAAATACTTAAAAGTGGTATTAAGTAAAATCTAGTTTAATTCATAGTTATGTTTTTCTCTTTAAGAGCTTATTAACAAGGTTTTACTGTATTTTTATACTTGTAAGGAAAAGAACCCGAGAGATCCCTAGTAATACAAATTATCCATGCTTTATATATCTATAAATACTTTTAATAATGTAATAACCTATGAAAGCTTTAACATATTCATTCTGAATTTAGGATAAGATGTGAATTAATTGTAACTATAAAAAATAATTTTCATGTGATATAATTAAACAAACCTCTTATTTAACTATTTTTCATAGAAAAAACATTATTAATCTTAACTTTTTAAATTTTAAGTAAAATATCTAATTATTGAAAAAAAAAAGTATGATTAGATTGTAAATACAGTATCTAAATAAATATTTTGCAATCGTGTAAGTTTATTTTTTGTTTGGTTGCAATATAAATGTAATAATAATAAGTAGTGGTAGCTATTCGTTATTATTACGGTGATGGTGTAGTAAATGGTGGTTGTATGTATTGTTTTGTGATGACCAGAATGGCCCTACTGCCTCACCAAGCATATCAAAAGCAACAGTTATCCGGCAGCAGTTACCACAGTCATCCGACGGCAGCAGTGTCCTCAAGCGTTTACACCTTGGAAGTCCACTCAGACAAAAATGGACAGGTCTTGTTTCCAAGGTGATACAGTAATTTATAAATAAAAAATTTTTCTATGATAAATTTATTAAATTATATTAATTTTTCTTATAATTAATGCAGGATGATGTAAGATGGAAAATTACATGTGGTAAAACTACAGACCAACAAGAAATGACAGCTATGGCATACAAATGTCTGCAGATGAAATCACCTTCGAATTTCACTGCCAAGGCAACTAGTTTTAAACCAAGACAACTGACTTTTTAAAGCTAACCATTCTCTTTTTATTGTTAGTTAAAATACTTTTTATTTCAAGTATTAGTGAAAATTTATTGAATTTTTTTTTAATTTTTAATAAGAGTGAGTTTTACCTTAGTAATATTTCCTGTGTTTTCATTTCTTTGTTTATTTTTCACATTGTTATAATTTTTTAATAATTACCTTTTTTGTAATCTTATGTTATTTTATGACATAGAAACCAAATGCAATTTCTTAGTAGTATTCTTTTAATTATAAGTGACTAATGTATAATAAACATATAAAGTAAATTTTACATATATTTCAAATATTCTTTTTTGCTGTACATAAATTTAATTTAAATTGTAATTTGTATATTTATATGCACTTATGTAAATTTTAATTAATTTTTTTTTTTGCTTAATAGCACTACCATTAACAGAAACCTTATTTTGATAATATTTAGTTTTATCTTTGTAAACGAGTTTCATTGATTTTGTTTTAACATATTTTGTACCAAATTGAACTCGTGTTTCAAATAAAAATATAGTGATTGTAGCAATGATTTGTTCAATTTTTTTCTGATTCTGCTTCCTTTATAGCAAGTTGAAAAGTTTTCTTGAACCTCAAATGTTATAATTTTGAAAATATAATATCAAGTATAAATGAACAAGAAGTATTACGAATTCCTGGTGTTAAATAACATTCATTTTTCACAAATTTCAGTGCAATAACTAAAGAGTAGTTAGAAACTTATTTATATGTATAAATATATATATATTATAATATATTATGCTGCGTATATTTCATTTATGTCTGAAAATCCTACAAAAATAAAATTTAGATTTATAAGTGTATAAAGGATTTTTTCTTGGGAGTTTTACAATAACAAAACTTAAGAAAAAAGAAATTTGTAATGTTGTCTTATGTTTTCACCCGAAAGTATCTTTTTATTTAAAAATACTTAACTCTTTTTAATACAACTTTTATAAACATAGGTTGGATTAAGACCTATATGGGTTCCCATTGAAAATATCAATACCATAAAAAAAAGTAATGAGCAAAAAAATCAGAAAAACTCGATCAGTCACTAATTATGATTAGTCTAGTAAAATTCGAGAAGGCATCGATTTGTTGGCCATTCTTTGCACCTCATTAATACGGCCCTGCATATACCTATTTTATATTTATTTTGTAGTGAAGAGTGATAAAAAATAATAAATTGATATTTAGTGATAAATTATTGTTTTAAAATAATGTATTCGATTTAGTACCCGTGCATATCAACTATCTACTATGTTACATGTACATAATAAAAAATACTAACTATTAGGGAATTGAATAATTACAATTCACAAGGTCGACATTCGCATACGCCAAAAGTCGTTTAGTAACTGCGGTCCATTGAACCAGTTAAATAAATAATTATTATGCAATCACATTTGACATCACATAATTCACGAAAATATTTAGAATATTTAAAGTACGAGTATTAATTGATTACAGATGTAAATGTAGATTTTTATTTTGAGTTAATTTAGTAGAGGAAAAATCGTATATGACTATAAAGTTTTTTTTGTGATTCAATATAAAATGTAGTAGAGGATCAAAGCTGTTAGATTAGTTAATTGGAAGGGATTATATTTAATAAATCAGCACAATTAATTTTACCATTCGATAATTTATGTATCTTATTATATAATAGAACAAGGAAAAAATAAATATATAATTTCTAAATATACGTATTTAGAGCAATCATAAATCCAGACAATCTTTTATATCATTTGTAGAAGCATTAGTTTAACTATCATATATAAAAATCTTTTTTGAATTTTTTCAATTTTAGCTATGTAGGTACATGATTAATATGGATCAAATTATTTAACCATAATCTACCATTTTAAACAATTGGGGTATATTATAGTTTTTAACACGCCACTCACGAAACCTATTTAAATAATTTTGTAACTTTAAACGATCAAATACGATTTTCACTTGCATACATATTTTTAAATCATCTGTAAATGATAATTACAATGCAAGAATACATCTTGTAAATCATTTATAAGCATATGAAGAGCTCGGTGTAACAACCAAGCAAGCCAAACTTTTCAAGTAAATAATTTGTTATTAGTTTTTAATGAATATAATTTTTCTGCTTAATTCGATATAAGAACGGTTTTTATATTTCTATTATTTTTTATATAGCTGTCGATTTCCTTCGATTGTCTTATTAAAATATATCTTTTGTATGTCAGTCATTTTTCAAAGTTTAATTTTTTTACAGTTTTACATAATTAATTAAAGATACGAAAGTTAACTAATTTAACTATAATTAATTATATAAGACTATAAAAAAATTAAACTATCAAAAATTATTGACATACAAAAGATATATTTTAATAAGACAATCGAAGGAAGTCGACAGTTGTATAGAATTGGTAAAAAACAACATATAAACGGGTTTTCCTGACTGATTTAATATTGATTAGTTTAAGTAGGTCGAGGTTTTTTCATCAGATGATTCATCCACCCACCCAATTCACTGTACTACTGGTCAATCTGGATGACCTTACAATGGTTGAAAGGAAATATTATTTTTGTTTGTTCGCGTGGCGTTTGAAAACATTATTGATATTAATATACAGTTGTCGCTTCAGGTAATGAAGTGGGACTCATCGATACAAATAACTTCCGAATTCGACTCGTACGCTGCATAGATAATGTTTTCGCGTATAATCAGAGACTGTACGGTGTGGGGGTGTAGGGGATGTGATACCTCCCCTAATATTCGAATGAGTAAATATACAACTTATTTTAAAGTGTTATGTTAATATATATTCTCTTAAGTAATGACTAAAAACACGTTTAAGTATAAAAATTACCGTCTCGTTTTTTCAGGTTGCTAATTTATAAACTAAACCATTCCAAAATTAAATTTGATAAATTAACGAAATTCCAGGATAATCTTTGTTTATATTGTGTATTTAGATAATTTGTTTAAACGTAATAAATTTGTGATTTTCTTTCAAAAGGTACGTACACGTGTTCATTACCTTCGCATTTAGAGGGCAGTTTTAAAAGCTCTACATTTCGAAACGCTCTCAATGATAAATGTATATGTATAAGCGAATTAAGTGACCGAATAGACCGTATGAAATAATAGTAAAAAACATAACCGATACCGGTTATGTTTAGAATGTCGATGTACTTTATTAATCCGCGTCTGATACAAATCGCCTTGGCACTTGCGAGGTCATATTCCTCTTGAGTAGGTACTAATAGTCTCATTCTAAACTATGAGACACGTTTTAAATTAAGCACCGATTAATAATATAACCACGAAATCATGATCAAATCAGAATAAAATTGATTGACTCTCCCTCCTTGAGAGTAACCCTTCTAAGGACATCGATACGTTTTCAACAATATATTCGAATATAAACATACCCAATGTAAAACATTATAAAATATAAAACGCTTCCATGGAAATCTGTTAAATTTCATATCTTGTATATTTTTAATTTTACGATTTTTATGTTTTAAATTTTCACTTGAATATTAAATGCTTGTTAAATTACTTGCATAATTAAAAATAGCGTTACATTTTTATTTTGACAGCCGATTTCAAATAGTAGAGCAATCGTCGGGACAATTTTTTTTTTTTTAATATTGTAGTACACTTCAAATTTTTTATTTGATGTAGGTTAGAAGTTGTCAAACTTTCCGAAACACTTTAGAAAATCGAGATATAACATTTTTTTATATACGAGAAAGTGATCTGTTTCAAACTCTTTTTGTGCTTAGGTTTTTCATATGATTTTTAGAAGAAGTATATTAAAAGAAAGCTAATATTTTTTTTCGAGATCACTATTTTCTATAGTAGTATAATTTTAAGATATTTTTTTTATTTTCTAAAAATGAGGGTGTTTTATCAAGATTTCGGCACTGGTGGATTGGGTTCAATTATATTAAGATTAGGTTATTTTGATATATTGATCATTGTAATGGGTCTATTGAGAGCTGAGAATTTTTATGGACAAATAAAAAAACACATACCATCACAAAACCAATACCTTGTCGGCCTTGCATCGAAATTTTAAAAAATGAGTTATTAACATAATTTTATGTACTACAATAGCAAGTCTTTATCAGTGACGTAGGTAGATATTTTTAAAGAGGTGCCAAAGACTACGAGTGTAACTTGAAAAGTTTATCTGGTGGTCAATAGTCTCATATTTCATTTTACACTTCTCTATAATGGTCTATTATAGAGAATTATCGGATTAATCCTCCATCAGGATATTTATACTTAATATTAAAATTCTAACTAGATAAAAATAGATTTAGCGACTGACTTTTCTACAAGAATGGAAACAGTTTATCTCAGTCAATAAAAAGTTAATAAAAACATTTCTAGTCTTCATACTATAACGATTTAATAACATTGCGTGATACACATTTCAATAAATACTATTTTAACGAAAAAAAATTATAAGTGGACAATATAACAATGTATTATATTATATGAAATATATCATATTTCCTGAAGAATTTGAGTTGAGTTGGTCGAAATGAACGTTTAAAATCGTCTAAGCAAATTTTGTTAGGTCTTACACTTTAAATGCATTAAATCCAATGATGAAACCAGAGGCGTTAGCGGGCTGTAATCTCTTGCATGTCTTGGTGTGAATTGTCTTATAAAAAACCATTCAGGTTTTTTCATAATTTAAAATATTGCTGAATAAATGTACGTTATTTTGTAATTATTTTATTCTTTTGTTTACTAGATTTATGTTTGACGAATCAAATTATTAATGTCCTTACCATGCCATATTACAAGTTTGATAAAAGAAAAAAGAAAATCCTTCTGGTTCATTGGTAATAATATTCCTGTATAATAAATCACAACTACACATTTTTTTTATCAATATTTATTAGTACAAGCATTGTGTAATTTAAAATTTTTAATAAAAATCAAGTGAACGGTTGGAGGTTTAGAATGTCTACGTACATGTCCTATTGGCTACAATGAATAACTGTTATTGCCGGCAGCTATACATGTACATATCACAAATTTACTTTGCTTATGTCCTTAAAAGTAAGTTTGAGGTCAATTGTTATAAAAGTTGAAACTTTATAAAGTTTCAACACCTTATCAAAGTTATACATAACTTTGATAAGGTGACATTGTTCTTGAACTCGAAATAACTGCGTTTTGCTTTCTTAATCAATTTGTTATTTACTAATAAATTCATATTTTCTCATTTCAAGTAATAAACAACCATGACTATCCATTTAATAACTTTTTCACAACAATGTTACCTTGAAAAGTTCGATGATCGCATTTAAAGTTTGAAAACCTATCAGTTGCGAAAGGTGTGACGTTAACCTCGAAAATTCGAAGTAAAGGTGGGAACGTAGAATGTTAAGTGTAATTAAAAAAAAAACTTAAAAAGTGAACGGGATGAATTGTTATGGATGACTTAATAATATTATTTCTCACGGGTGAGTATGACGTTTGAAGTGTGCTACACTTTCAGTTAAGGACATCACGAAGGAAATCGTTTAGTGAACACGATTGTGAAGCTGGAATTGTTTGCCCATCATATATTAATAATTAATAATGAACGAAATCAAGTGATTTTTCGTTTTGATCGTTGATCCGGAACTAGGACGAGGTCTTCCGGCCATTTGTCAAACATTCACCACACGGTGGACATGGACAAAAAAAGCCCTAACCCAATAAATATGTATTCGTGGTAGGAAATAAAATGAATCAATTTTATAAACGTTCATATGAGATGCTCTGAGTCATTCACACTCAAATCAGCATACAAATTTTTTTTAAGAAATACTATATAAGTAATTATTAAGCCAAATGCATTAAGTATTTATAAGTGCACGGGTATAGAATATGACAACACAGAAATACTATGAAATCACACCACTCTATAATATATAAATGGAAACCAGATTGCCTAGAATTCTTATCGAAGAAAAGGTTATATCTGATGTTTATATGGTAGTTTATTAGTGTGTTATTACAAGTTTGCGGGGATAACTGCATTATTTTACATATGCAAATAGTTATTAAATAGCTATAACATTTTGGGGCCACGCAAATCTTAGACTATATCGACACAAGCTAAAAGTAGGGAATAAAGATCCTTGACCCTACCAATACTATTTTACCATTAAGTTAGAAATTTAAAAATCAAGATAGATCAGAAACAAATGCATACTCGTTTTATTATTGGCTTATGTATTTTATACGTACAGAAACCAGTGGCGTTGCTATAGATTGCTGGATGGGCTTCAGTTGGTCCTGAAATTTAAAAAAATATTATTATGTTATTTTGTTTGTCAATCATATCTTATCGTTCACAGTCTAAATTTAACAATTCAATATTCGAGAAATGCCGAGATAATAATTCTGAAATGTTAATATAGTCATATTATAAAAATGTATAGATTTCTTCTAATATAATAATAATTTAGAGATTTTTTTTTTCTTATTTAAGTAGTATTTATTTTTCGATTTTTGAGTGGTTAAATATTTTTTGTAATCAATCTCGTATAAGGGAAAATTAATTTTTTTAATTGTACATACATAGTATTTAACTAGTTCATATAATAGAAAATATTCCAACTAAGAAAATGACTAGACGATAACAACTTTTTAATCAGTAGTTCAGCAATTATGAATGTATATATATATAACCGTGTTGAAGTAGTAGATACGTCATGAAAATAATAACATAACTCACGTCTCATTTCCAGTTTACATTTAAAAATGTTAAGAACCCCCGAAAAACTAATTCAAACGTTGTTATCGATCAGTCATTTTCATAATTGGATCATTTTCTATTATATGAACTAGTTAAATATGTAGGTTGCAATTTAAAAGAATTAAGTTGGTACCCTTATGAGGGATAAGGGATAAACTTAAAAAAAACATTTAACTTTGCAAAAATCGAAAAATTCATACTTATAAACAAAATCAAATATTTTTTTCAAAACTATTGTAATTTTAGGACAAATTTAATGAATGATAAATCATTCACCATGCAATTATACTGAAATATTATAAATTTAATTTCTTACAACGTTATCAGAATGGTCGAATAATAATATTAAGACTATAATATTTTAACAAGTTATTAAGAAAATGTAATGTAATAATTACAAAATATTTCCAAAAGTTGTTTGCAAAACTTAAGCGAAGTATTCTACATTATAATTTTTTAACAATGTTTAACTTAAAATTTTAACATTAAACTTTTTAGATATATTTTTTCAAGATAATTTTATTATATTTTATCGATACTATTAATGATATATGTTATAAATGTATTTATCCCCGTAAATAACCGCAATATAATCAATACTCCCATTAATATTATACAATGTTTACATAAGGGCTAAAGCTCCCCTTTATTATACACGTTGAAAGTTATCTAGACCCTCCTAACTAATACCTAAGTATGCCACTACAAAATTTTTCATCTTTTCAGATATGGTATTTTTATTTCATCAATTAATTATATATACATTACTTTTATTTTACATAGCAATTCAATATTTTTCGAAGGGTTAAGTACCCCATTTCCCCTCCTGTGCTTATGACCTAACCAATTACTAAGACCATGGAATCGAGTTGCTAAAACTATGAGCAACCAATCTATTTGCAATAAAATTATCAACTCCCCTTAAAAAATTTCTGGCTACGCCTTTATCGAAACCTAAATTCGTACTATAGTGCACACCTAGTTAAAATCAATTTGTACTGTATTTTTTGACTGTATATTTTCAACAGCTTTTACAATAATGAAAAAGATGAATAAAAGTAGATTTTTTACTGTTTTCTTACTAAATAATTAAACAAATAGATACATTCTATACTTAAAAAATGTACTTTTATTCGTAATTTTATTTAATAAAAAAAACTGTATATAGAGTCAAAAATCAGAGATTTTGTCGTGGAGTTAAAACAAAAAAAAAACAGTACAATGAGGACGCGGCATAATTGGGATAAGCTGAGATAATATCTGAGAGTGATTAACACCACTATCATAAAAGCTACGACGTGAAGTTATTAAATTTTTTTAATAGATCAATTTTTAACAAATTTTGAACTACAGTATACAAAAACTTAAAATAAACATTTTCCAAACAAATGTTTTTTTTTTTTTAAGTTGCAAATTTGTTTTACTTTGACCCATAGAAGAAAACAATCGTCAAATCAGTCAAACTTTTTTATTTTACATTGTAGTACCTTTTAAATCTTTGATTTGTTACAGATAGGAAGTTTTCAGACTATCCGGAACTTTTTCAAAAATCGAGTTGAACAAATTCTTTTATACGTGTGTATGTAGTCATTTTCACACCTCTTTGTACTTAGAATTTTCATTGGATTTTTAAAGAAAAAAATACAAAAAAAAAACTTATTATTTCAAGTATACTTTATTAATATTTTATTAGCATAAGTGTTTTGAAAAAAAATTATAGTTGTTTTAATACGCAGCCATTTTTTTTTTTTTGAAAAACCCGTTTTTTTACGATAGCGTAATTTTGATATATTAAGGGATTTCTTCTAATCTTTGACGACGATACATTAAAAACGGGTTCATTTGATGTAGTATTGATCATTATAATCGGTTCAGTGAAAGCTGAAATAAAATTAATATTAATATAGTGTATTATATTGTATTATTAATAATTTGTTTTGAATATTTATTTTCTTTTATATTTTAAATGTATTTATTTTTTGAAAAATCTAGTTATTAATAGAGTTAAAAATAATGATATTAGTAATTAAATTTAACTTTTCATATATAGATCTAATAATTCCGACAGTTGAACAATTAAATACATATTTTATATAATAAACGTATACTTAAATAAATATATAAGAAAATTTATAAAAATAATACGCAATATTGTTTTTACAACTATTATCGCAATTTTTTTCAAGTTAAAACCATTAGGGATTCAACTTTACATAAAGAGGTGACAAAATGAAAATTTCTTTAATTTTTATATTAATAATATCCTTAAAAGTAAGCTTAAGTTATTATCTAAGATATTTACAGTGTTCCCATTCTCGTTATTTTTTAAATTTTTTTAATCATAATGAAAGATTTTTGTTTGAATTCGAAAAAAATAAAGATTATATCACAATCGAAAATCTTATGAACTATGGTAAGGCACTTCAAACACACAGTGAAGTAATCATGATATTTTTGGATGACTTAATGTACAATAGTGCAGATATATTTCCTTTTAATTTGATCGCTATAAATATGTACTTAAATAATGTTTCTGGTACTTTAAATATGATTACTCAAAATGGAAATGGTGAAAAAAATGATGCTAAAAATTTATTAAAAGGCTATAAGATTATTCATTTCGTAATTAAAGAAGAACTAAATATTTACATAAATAGTCATTGTAAGGAAATACAGTTTAATTATAATATGGTTAGTTGCAATCATCCTCCAATCGGTAAAAACGAGTATACTACTAGTAATCTAGTAAACATAAATAATTATCTCAAAAATAGAATACTATCGATGTTAAGTACATCAGTAGAAAGGAATTCATACGAAAATTTTCACCCGAAAAATATTTTGTTTTACCATTTAATGACCCGACAAATTCTCAGAGACAAAAATAATAGTATAAAAATAGATAATAGTCAACACATAGAATTAAATTTACTTCGATTTACTCCACTTAACGTTAAATGCTCTGACAGTACTCGTTTAACTATACAAGACGTTTTTGAATATATGAAATATAATTTTAATTCTAATGATGTGTTATCATACATAAAAATGGTAATTATGGCTACGTTTCGTCCAATAGCTATTGTTATTCGTAACTTTTTAACCTTAATTCAAGTTGCATCTTCAGAGAAGTCAGATAGTGTAGCATTGTGGTTAAAACCGAATCTTATTGTCATGGGTAAAACAATAAGAAAACATGTAATAGAATTCATTTCTTTATACCTAATCAATAATAAACATATATTTCTGAAAAAAAAAGTCTTAAATGGATTTAACATAGCCTTAAAAAATTACATTAATAACCAAAAGTTGACTGAAAGTGATAATAAAAATAATAATACATTAATTAAATCACTTTCAAATTTCTTTATCAAAAACAAATTATACTTTACATGTGATATATTTCTTACCAATAAAAGTATTACTGAAAATAATGCTGATGACATTAAAAATCAATTTAAACAAATCATGCAAAATGTTGATATCTATATGAACGATTTGAAAAAATGGAGTACCTATTTTAATATTATTATAAGAAATTTTAGGATTCGGTCTTTCAATGTTTCAGATTATAATACATTTTTTGATTATAAAGTTTTAAGTAAGTAAAAATGTTCTTTTTCAATACTTTATATTATATATGCACAATATAATCTACTTTATATTTAGAAAAACATAGCCGAGTCCCTGTGTCGTCGTCGGCCATATTATACGAAGTACATAATAATAATTCAACAATAAGATAATTGAAATAAAGAGGCTTGCTAAGTGAAAATAACAATTTTATGCTTCAAATTGTGCAAAATATTTTATAAAAATTTTGCCAATAATTTTTTTTATGGACTCATATTTTTTATAATTTTGAACGAAAATCACAATGCCTTTCGTATGACAATGGGATAGTTTTCAAAATAAGGCACAAATTACATATTTTATAATTTCTATTTTTAGCACGCTTATATTAGTTTCACCTGTATATATGTATGTTTGTATGTATGTATGTTTGTAACTCTCCACATGCCACATATCATTATTCTTCACGTGTCCCGTCGTTTATGGCCTTGAGTTTAGACTGTCGAAACACATTCGCCCCACCCCGCTCACCCCTCGCCCACAACACTATTCCTGTATAATTTTATTTTTGGTTTTCCGATCGTTTTATTCCTATAGCTGAGATAGCTCGATCATATTACGATTTTTACTAAATATATGAGTTTTAATTAGTGATGGGAAATATCGAATAGTAACTATCGAACTATTTGATAGTCATTCAAAAACTATTCGAATAGTTTTTAAAATATTTGATAGTCTATTCGAATAGTTTTTAAAATATTTGATAGTCTATTCGAATAGTTTTTAAAATATTTGATAGTTTATGCTAAAAATAAAATATTCGGTGGTATAACCACAATTCGAATAGTTTAAAATATTTGAAAATGCCCATTACTAATTTTTTAGTTTCGATGCGAAGCGGAGAAGGTATTAATTTTACTATGATGTGTTTTTTTTTTTTATGTCTGTTGCCACTTTTTATCAGCACTCACTGGACTGATTTCTTTCAAAAATACGTCAAATGATCACAAATCGTATCTAGTTGAAGACATTACCCTTAAAAATCGAAAAAAAATCCCTCGTTCCCCGCAAATGGGGGAAATATCCAAAAAAACTACAAATCGCTAATTTTCGAAATTTTTTCACATTTTTTTCTTAAAACTTCCATAAGTTTTAGAAAAATCAACAAATCTACATAATTTTTTTTTTATACTAAAACCTTAGATATTTACCTTTCATTTGATATCATTTTTTTGGAAATCTATCACTTAACTAGTTCATTAGGGGGGATTTAAAATAGCAACTTTTTTACAAAAAACTAACTTTTTCAACTTAATTTTTGAAAATGTTCAGGAAATACTGCGTCCTTTAAACATATATCAAATCAGAGCTTGTTTTATGTACTATTAAATGAAAAAAAAAAATTTGTCCCGACACTTTTTCTTCGATATTTAAACGGCTGCCGTAGTTAAAAAAACACTATTTTTGTGTTAAAATTTTCAATTTTCGATTTTAAATTTTCAACTTAAATACAAAAACCCAGCACAGTGAGGTGGTGGCACAGTGGCGTCGTGGCATAGATGATATCTGACAGTGATTAAAATCACTATCAAAAAATAACGCTTCGATGCAAATCTTTAGATAGTGTTTAATTTTAAAAAATTGGGTGGATTATTCCAAAAGCTACATGATCTGCTAGTTCATTATTAATATCCTAATTAAGATAAAGTATGTCGAATGAAAAAGGGATTATTAAAAAATATTATTTCTCATAAAAAAATAATGTTGATCCATACACTTTTCAATATGTCATAGCATTATAAAGTTAAAAATGTAAAACATAAAATCGAGAATTTTCACACAATAATAGCATTCGGTAGCCATTTTCACCATGAAGATAAAATAAAGTCCGAAATTTTTTTTTCGCATAATAAAGTAAATTACATTAGCTTTAATTTAAGATATATATAATAGATAAAAGTGTCAGACTTTCCGGAACACTTTCAAAATTTAAGTTGAAAAAGTAAATTTTTTGTGAAAAAGTTGTCATTTTAAATCCCTCCCTGTGGGCAGGTAAAGGGTCAGATATAAAAAAAATATATACCAAATGATAGGTTAAGACATCATGCATCTATAAAAAAAAAAATTATATTGATCCATACATCTTTCAAAAAGTTATAGCATTATAATCTTAACAAAAACGGTAGCACAGTGAGGTTACGGCATAGTGGAGACATTGCATAGTAGGGTCCAGTATAGATTTAATCTGACAGTGATTAAAATCACTATCATAAGAAACGCTTCGATGCAAATCTGTAGATAGTGTTTAATTTTAAAAAATTGATGGATAATTGCAAAAGCAACATCAACTTCTATTAAAATAAAATACAAAACCCATAATTATCATACAAAAATAGTATATTTTTCAATATGGTAGCCATTTGCGTATAGAAGATAGATCGTCGGGACAAATTTTTTTTTTTCATTTTGTAGTACATAAAATAAGCTTTAATTTTATATATGTTTAAAGGACGCAGTATTTCCGGAACATTTTCAAAAATTAAGTTGAAAAAGTTATTTTTTGTAAAAAAGTTACTATTTTAAATCCTCCCAGTGAGCAGAATAAGTGTTAGATTTTCAAAAAAAATTATATCAAATGAAAGGGAAATATCTAAGGTTTCAATACAAAAAAATATTATTTTTATTTGTTCATTTTTGAAAAAGTTATGGCAGTTTTAAGTACAAAAAACATCCCGATAAAATGTAATTTTTATCGCAAACATTACATTTTTTTTTAAATTTTCGACAGCCATTTGCACATAGAAGATAAGATGTCGGGACAAATTTTTTTTTTTCATTTGATAGTATATAACATAACCTTTGATTTGATATATGTTTAAAGGACGCAGTATTTCCGGAACATTTTCAAAAGTTCAGTTGAAAAAGATCTATGTTTTTTACAATATTTTAAGTTTTGAACGCCCCCTATATAAGGGGAAATTGTCCAATTTTAATAAAAAGTATGTCAAATGAAAGATGTACTTATAATGTATTTAGAAAAAAAAAATTTGTGCTGATATATACATTTTTCAAAAAGTTATAGCATTTTTAAGTTGAAAATTTAAAATCGAAAATCGAAAATTTTAACACAAAAATAGTGTTTTTTTAACTACGGCAGCCGTTTAAATGTAGAAAAAAAAGTGTCGGGACAAATTTTTTTTTTTCATTTTGTAGTACATAAAATAAGCTTTAATTTGATATATGTTTAAAGGACGCAGTCTTTCCGGAACATTTTCAAAAATTAAGTTGAAAAAATTAATTTTTGTAAAAAAGTTGCCATTTTAAATCCCCCCCAATGAGCAGGTTAAGTGATAGATTTTCAAAAAAATGATATCAAATGAAAGGTAAATATCTAAGGTTTTAGTATAAAAAAAAATTATGTTGATTTGTTGATTTTTCAAAAAGTTATGGAAGTTTTAAGAAAAAAAAGTGAAAAAATTTCGAAAATTAGCGATTTTTAAATTTGTAATTTTTTTGGATATTTCCCCCATTTACGGGGAACGAGGGAATTTTTTTCAATTTTTAAGGGTAATGTCTTCGACTAGATACGATTTGTGATCTTTTGACGTATCGTTGAAAGAAATCGGTTCGGTGAGAGCTGAGAAAAAGTGGTAACAGACACAAAAAAAAAAAAAAAAACACATCTTAGTAAAACCAATACCTTCTCAGCTTCGCATCGAAGCTAAAAATTCAATGACAAATTAAAATTATATTTAGAAAACTTTCTCATTTTGAATACCAAAGCAATTTTTGAATCCTTATTTTATTTATTTTAGATCGTATTTGTAATACTCAAGCACATTCTGAAATATACAATGCTAGTGTGAATAATAGTCATAAATTTAAAATTGAATATTATAAAGATGTAGATGCTGTGGAAGATGATATTACAAAATTTAACTTAGAGAATCTAAAAGATAATCCTGACAAAAGTAATATCGATACAAATGACTCCCTTCAAAATCAATCAACTTATAAACCTCTTTACATGATTGATTATTGGCCATATAATGTGTAAAGTGATATGATTAAAATTGTTTTTATAATAAATAATGTATATTTTCATAACTTACTTGCAAAGCCTTTGTCTTTCCATTTTAGTATAAAAAGTGATTTTTTTATACTAGCCACTCGATCTATTAAAATAATAGTTACAATAAAAAATTATTTTTGGTATTTTATTTTCATAAATTTCTTGATTTATAATTTATTAAAGATATATTTTTAATTCATCCCTTATAGCTTATAAGAGTGTTAAATTTATGTTTTAAATGACAACATACATATTTAACTAGTTAATAAAATCAAAAATGATTTAATTAAGAATATGACTTGTTGATGACAATTTTAGAAATAGTACTTCAGAAATTATTAACATTTTTAAATATAGAGTGGAGGAAGAGCACAGAAAAGTAATGATAAAAATAACATAACCTAAACTTTACCTCCACTATATATTTTAAAAGTTATAACTTCTAAAAAAAATAAAATAAAATGAATACCTTCTCAGCTTTGCATCGAAGCTAAAATAACAAAATAAACACATTATGATAAAATTAATATATTCTCAGCTTCGCATCGAAGCTGAGAAGGTATTGGTTTTACTAAGATGTGTTTTTTTTTTTTTTTTTGTGTCTGTTACCACTTTTTCTCAGCTCTCACCGAACGGATTTCTTTCAACGATACGTCAAAAGATCACAAATCGTATCTAGTCGAAGACATTACCCTTAAAAATTGAAAAAAATTCCCTCGTTCCCCGTAAAAGGGGGAAACCTCCAAAAAAATTACAAATTTAAAAATCGCTAATTTTCGAAATTTTTTCAATTTTTTTTACTTAAAAGTGCCATAACTTTTTCAAAAATGAACATATCAATATAATTCTTTTTTATATAGATGCATAATATCATTACCTTTCATTTGGTATATTTTTTTCATAAATTTAACCCTTAACCTGCCCACAAGGGGGGATTTAAAATGACAACTTTTTCACAAAAAATTAATTTTTTTAACTTAAATTTTGAAAATGTTCCGGAAGGTCTGACACTTTTATATATATCTTAAATTAAAGCTAATGTAATATGCTTTATCATGAAAAAAAAAAATTTCGGACTTTATCTTATCTTCATGGTGAAAATGGCTACCGAATGCTATTTTTGTGTGAAAATTTTCGATTTTGTATTTTCCATTTTTAACTTTATTATGCTATAACTTTTTGAAAAATGTATGAATCATTACAATTTTTTTATGAGAAGTAGTATTTATATAGATCTTTCATTCGACATACTGTTTTTTTAAATCGGACCATTTCCCTAAATACAGGGGGGATTCAAAACATAAAAATGCATATAGAAAGTAGAACTTTTTCAACGTAACTTTTGAAAGTGTTCCGGAAGGTCTGACACTTTTATATATATCTTAAATTAAAGCTAATGTAATATACTTTATAATGGTAAAAAAAAATTTCGGACTTTATTTTATCTTCATGGTGAAAACAGACATTAAACTTAATAAAAAAAATACGATTTTTGTAAAAAAATTCTTTTTTATATTTTTAACTTTATAATGCTATAACTTCTCGAAAGATGTATGGATCAATATAATTCTTTTTTTTGTAGATGCATGATGTCTTTACCTATCATTTGGTATATTTTTTTTATAAATCTGACTTTTTACCTGCCTACAGGGGGGGATTCAAAATGACAACTTTTTCACAAAAAATTGACTTTTTCAACTTAAATTTTGAAAGTGTTCCGGAAAGTCTGACACTTTTATATATATCTTAAATTAAAGCTAATGTAATATACTTTATCATGGAAAAAAAAAATTTCGGACTTTATTTTATCTTCAAGGTGAAAATGGCTACCAAATGCTATTATTGTGTGAAAATTCTCAATTTTATTTTTTACATTTTTAACATTATAATGCTATAACTTATTGAAAAGTGTATTGATCAATATAATTTTTTTATGGGAAATACTATTTTCTAATAATCTCTTTTTTATTCTACATACTTTGTCTTAATCAGGATATTAATAAGGAACTAGCAGTTTATGAAGCTTTTGGAATAATCCACCAATTTTTTAAAATTAAACACTATCTAAAGATTTGCATCGAAGCGTTTTTTTTTGATAGTGATTTTAATCACTGTCAGATATCATTATACTTGATCCAACTATGCCACGTCACCACTGTGCCGCGACCCCCCTGTGCTGGGTTTTTTTTTTATTTGAATCTCAATACATTTTTTTTTTTGTGTTTTCTGGAATGTTTAACTGTATAAAATGTCTACTGTATATATCTGGTAATTCCACCAAAGTCTTCAATTAAAAGAAATCGTTCTTATATAGTTTTTTTGTTTAAATTATTTAAATTGACTGTAGTATTTTTAACTTTTGTTTTGACTTTACCTTTACACAAGGGCGTATTCACATATTTTCCACCAACAGGAATTAAAAAATTTGCCGCCCTTCATTACATTATGACGTAAAGGGTTTATTTTTATATATTTTTGCCATAACACTACTAATTCTTTTTCAAAAAAAAAAAATTAAGTATTTAAAAATATTTTTCAAGCAAATCTATCTTCATTAATAAATGCTTGTAGCTATTAATATACATATCATAAATACACAATAAATGAAAACGATTATTATAATTATTAGCGAGTCAATATGTCATAACTACGATAGCAAAAATAACTAGCTTTTTATAAATATGTTGGCCTTCAATATTTGCGCCCCTTAAAATATGCTGCTGTAGGCTTTTGCCTGTATTGCCTGTATATAAATACGCCGCCGCCTTTACAATACAAAAGGCTATGTTATCAATGCTAATATCTATCTATTAGATATTGTAAACATAAATTATTATTACTCAGTTTGGTGAGAAGTCAGGAGTTGGGATTAAGGTGAGGAAGAAGAAAAGACTCAGTTGTGTGTCTACATTTTTTTGTGTGTATACTATGTAGTTTTTAAATTTTTTATCGTTAACATACTATTTATTTTGCCGCAAAAGTTTAGAAATCTAGTAATTAATATATATTTGTAAATCTCATATATTAGGGACGTTAAATATTTATATGATTTGTTTTTCTTGCGATTTCACTAATATTTTATTGGCTAATAGAGACCAAGGAGTTTAATATTTTGATTAATTATTTTACCATTAGATAGCTAATATACCCTTCCATCATTAAATCCTTTTAAAAGCTGATTCTCTAGGTTTTTTAATATTCAGGGCAAATTAAAGCATTAATTTTTATGTAATATAAAAAAAAGTTTATTTGACTCTCACGTTAATTTCTGTACAGATGTACTAGTGTACATTTAAACCTGGTACAAGAGTACAACCTTTGTGACTTCTATCGATAGCTCTATTTTCTTTTAAGAACATAAAATTATTTCGAAAAAATAAAATAAATTTAATATAATTCTAAATGAATTTGTGAATCTGTTCCAAGTACTATAGAGCTCATGTCTAATATCACAAAAAATATTCAGAAAAAGAATTGTTTAATTTTTTTATTTATGGTCATTTATTTTATTCCTAGTTAGTAAGATCTTAAAAATTATAGATGTATGGTTGGGTAATTTTCATTTGAAATCGTCGAAAACATTGGAATATATATTAGGATATTTGGGTCTTACTGGTGTTGGTAACAATTTACAACCACTACTAGCAAACGATGACTACTTAAACCTATCGCGTGCTGACTTTTCTTGATAGCTTACCATAAAAAAAATACACTTGAAAGTAATTTATATGTTATGACATCCTTAATTTTTACAAATTAAAAATGTTATCTAGTTATTTAAAATATAACGTAAATTAATAATAATAAAATTACAACATGACATTTTTACGAGGCTTCAAAGTTTGCTGATACTATAATTAAAACTCAATATATAATTTTTATAGGTCATAAAATATAAGACTTGTAGATCAATAGGGAATAAATACGAATGATTCGTTAGTGGTGATGACTCATTTCATCGAGCTTTCTCACATTAAACAACATGATATAATTATAACGATCTTTAAAATAAATTGAAAAGCAGTTATCTAATTAAATATTTGTACATTACGTTCAATGTTCCCTGGCCTTTAAGGTCAAGGACTCCCAATAGTGTTAACAGAGTTTATGAAGTTTATTTTCGTTAATATCAATACTTTTGTAATTTAGATATTAATAGAATTTAGCGATTTTAGACTTGTACCTCACTTTACTATTGTTAAAATATAACTTAAACGGTTTAGGTTTGTTTTGCAACACAAAACTTAATCAATTGTTAAATAATTAGCAAATTACGTATATTATTGAACGTGACAACATATGTTTAACAGGAGGATAATTAATTATTATTTAATTTTTCCTATTCGGTGAGTGTAGCCATTTCACGTTACACATGATGTTGTGGTGTATACGCGTGTAATACGAACGTATGTTATCACTAAATAGGTCAAGTGCATCGAGTAGCAGACGATAAACACTAGTTTTTACCATAATTGGGCCGATGTAATGTATAATTGTTATAATAAATATAATAAAATTCTATGCAAAAAAAGTATACATTTATACATTTTTTTTTGGTTTTATATATTTTCGAGGGCATACTGTTGTGGAATTATTTAGTCATAAAAACTTAAATATTTTATTGTAATATTATTCATATTCAACTATGAATAATAATGCTAAATTGCATAACATCAAAGTATAATTTGATACCTTTCACCCAATAATGGTATACTCAAAAGTTTATAATTTGCTAATAAAACTATTTGTGCCTCAGAGAATAATTTCCATGAACAAATAATCAGACTTGTAACCGTAATTGTAGGACCATCAAGTTCTTCTTCGATTTAGCATCAAATGAAAATTATTATGATTCTACGCCGATTTAACTTGCATTTGCTGATTTTCATAGCTACTTCGGTCGGTGTCGAAAGTGTTTTAAATTAAACATAAATATATAACATTTTAACAATCCTCCAAAAAAATGTATGTATTTATTTAATTTTGAGTAGGAATGTGTAACTGAAGTTATTAGGATGGTCCTTATTCATATTGGTAGATATTTTTTTAACATATTTATTATACAGTGCCC